TGCATCAGGCAAATCTGCTGCAAAAGACCTCTTTAAAGTGTTGAAAAGCAAAGATTTCATTTTGAGGACTAAGGTGCGCCTGACCTAAGCTGTGATATTTTCAATAACTTCATATGTATGTCAAAGCCGGACAATGAATACGGACAACTGAAGAAGAACTGATGCCTTTGAATTATGGTGTTGGCAAGGAATATTGAATATACCATGGACTGCCAGAAAAATGAATAAATCTGTCTTGGAAGAAGTACAGCCAGACTGCCCCTAGGAAGCTAGGATGGTGAGACTTTGTTTCACATACTTTGGATACGTTATCAGAAGGGACCAGTCCCTGGAGAAGTACATCATGATTGGTAAGGTAGAGGGTCAGCAAAAAAGAGGAAGACCCTCAATAAGAAGGATCAACATAGTGGCTGCAACAGTGGGCTCAAACATAGCAATGATTGTGAGGATGGTACATGACCAAGCAGTGTTTCATTCTGTTATACACCGGGTTTCTATGAGTCGGAACCAACTGGATGACACCTAACAACAAGAACAATATTGTTTGGTTTTAAGAATACTTCAGGGGATATTTTTGATTTAAGGTTTAAATATTATCTCAGGGCAATAGTTTCGGGAGTTCATCTAGCCTCCGTGGATCCAGAAAGTCCAGATTCCATGAGAATTTGAAATTCTGTTCTGCATTTACCCCCTTTTGATCAGGATTCTTCTACACAATCTTTGCTCAAAACTACCTTCCTGGTTTTGACTACACCTAAACTGCTCCAGATGGACCCAAACCTTTTCAACCTTTAACAGTCTTGACAACCAATAGGTTAAAAAAAGGTAATAACCTTTGCCTAAGCCAAGTTCTGCCCACTGCTGTTTATGCCTATTAATTCTGGGGAAGAGTCCTCATCCAGCTGTGCTTTGAAAAGATGACTGTGGTATCTTTTATTTATTGATACTTACTCATCCTGGTCTGGTGGCCCCCCCCCCATCCTGATGTTTTGGAGGCTAAAGAATATTCCTCCTCCCCCTCCTTCCTTCTCTTCTCCGTGGTAGGAGCCGGGCGCTTCTATGACAACATTGAAGACATGATTGGATACAGGCCATGGCCTCTTATCAAATATTGCTGGATCTTCCTCACACCAGCTGTGTGCACAGTAAGATAATCCTCAAGGGGTAAAGCTAGCTAGAGGGAGGGAGAGACGGTGGTGGCAGCAGGGTAGACAGACATTAGACCTAGAAGGGACTTCTCCCTAGAGATTGAAAATTATTTTAGATTTTCATTCATTCTCCTGTTGGATTTTAGAAAATGACAGCAAGATAGATTCTTCCTTTTCATTTCACAGAAGGATAAACTGAGGTCCAGAACTGTCAGATGGTTTGACCAGCACCACAGTGAGTCTAATGTTGTAGCAAGACTAAAACCCGAGTACATTAGGCTGCTCTTAATAACACTAATAATCACAGCAATAATAATAGCAACAGTTACAGAGTGCTTACTTTGTGCCAGACACAAAGTGCTTCATGTGTATTAATTAATTAAATCCTTACAAGAACCCCGTGGCTAAGTATAGACATTCAACTCATTTTACAGATGAAACTGAAGCCGAAGAGGTTAAGTAACTTACTGAAGCTGGAAAGTGACAGAGAGCTAGGATTCAAACCCAGGCAACCTGGCTCCGGAATCTGAGCCTTTAACCACTATGTGCTGCTTCCTCTCGCTTTATCTGTTTATGTCAGCCAATCCCCCTGAGTCCCTACTGTGTGCAGAACATAAATGAGGTACAGGGGAAAAGACGCATGGTTCCTGCCCTTGAGGGACTCAGCCCAAACTGATTGTGCAGGAGAATTAAGCACCCCTCACTACCACCCCACCCCACCAAGCACATAATCATGCCCAGATTGGGGGATCAATCATGTATAGAGGTGCCCAGGGAGAGGAGGGCCTGAAGTGACAGCGTTTGTGCCCTGAAAATACATAGTAGGGAATGTGAACTTTGAGTAGAATGTGGGTGGAGATTTCATTGACCCAGAAGAGCCCAGAGGCAAATCCAGCCTTGGAGTTTGACCTTGGCTAGGCCAGCTCTTCCAGGTGGGGGACTGAGGACATGAGCCCCTTTCCTCTGTAACCCCTTCCTCTTCTGCTCTCACCCCAGGCCACCTTCCTCTTCTCCCTGGTCAAGTACACGCCGTTGACCTACAATAAGAAGTACACGTACCCGTGGTGGGGTGATGCGCTGGGATGGCTCCTAGCTCTGTCCTCCATGGTTTGCATTCCTGCGTGGAGTTTCTACAAACTCAGTACCCTCAAGGGCTCCTTCAGAGAGGTAGGGAGTTAGTAGGGAGGAAAGCAGTCAGAAGGGGAAGGAACCCTATTAGAAGAGGTAAGATCCCTTGATGATAGGTGGGCTGCCTGCCAAGGGTAGAAGCTGGTACATAGAGGGTCCAGTGAGCCGGATGTGGGTGTTGGGGTGATAGAGTCCTCAGCCACCACCTATCCGTCAGTTTGTCATACTGTGGTGGCTTGCATGTTGCTGTGATGCTGGAAGATATGCCACTGGTATTTCAAATACCAGCGGGTTCACCCATGATAGACAGGTTTCAGAGGAGCTTCTAGACTAAGACAGATTAGGAAGAAAGGCCTGGTGATCTACTTCCAAAAATTAGTTGGTGAAAACCTTATGGATCGTGACAGAATATTGTTCAATATAGTGCTGGAAGATGAGCCCCTTAGGTTGGAAGGCGCTCTAACTACACAGTGGCTGCAACAATGTACTCGCGCTTATCAACGATCATGAAGATGGTGCAGGACCTGGCAGTATTTCATTCTGTTGTACATGGGGTCACCATGAGTTGGAGCTGACTCGATGGCAACTGACAACAATAACAGAGTGCTTAGAAGTTACAGAAAGAGATTGGGTAGCTCCAAGATTGCAGGAGCCCTGATGGCACAGTGGTTAAGAGCTATGGCTGCTAACCAAAAAGTGGCAGTTTGAATCCACCAGCCACTCCTTTGAAACTCTATGGGGCAGTCCTACTCTGTTCTATAGGGTCGCTATGAGTCAGAATCAACTCATCAGCAACGGGTTTGGTTTGGTTTTTTGGTGTGATTATAGGGTTTGCACCTGGAAGGGTACGTTTGTGCAAGGGGAGGCAGGCAGACATTGGTGATGAGGGAAGCTTGCGTTCCTGCCCCCCACTCCACCTCATAACAGCCGCCTCCACTCTCCTTCCAGAGAATACGCCAGCTCGTGTGCCCAGCTGAGGACCTACCCCAAAAGAACCGAGCAGGACTCCCTGCTCCTGCCACGCCCAGGGCATCACTTCTCAGACTCACAGAACTAGAGTCCCAGTGCTAGATGGGAGACTCTTGCATGATGCCTGTGAGCCTGGCTGTGGGGACAGCTGCAGAGGAGAGAGGGCAGAAAAAGCCCCACTGTGCTTCTCTGCCCCTCACCTGAGATAGCTAATACAAAAGGAGGTACTTTGGAATCTGCCTTCTGAGCTGGAAGCTCCCACTCCAACTTCCTTGCTCTAGGGGTGGTTTGAACAGATATGAAACGCCAGTATCAAGAGCATCTCTTTGAGATGAGCCTTCGGACGCTGGGTGAGGGCTGGTGGGTGGGTAAGAGCTTTGTCAGCCTCGGGGCCCTCCTACCCTTCATTCCATTAAATCCACATTCTTCTCACTGACTGTTAGCAATTGTGCCTGGTTTCTGCCTCTCTGCCCTGCTTCCTCGACCAACTCCCCACTTTAAAGTTATGGCTTCAGGACCCTGTCTCCTCCCCACCTTTCCTTCCCTCACAGAGTTCTCCTTGTTGACCATATGGCCAAAGTGATTGCTGTGGGGAGGAGGGTGATGAGGCCAAGCTGGGATCCTCCACCATCAGACACTTGGACCAGAGGAAGCTGTCCCACCTCTCTCCAGGCTGCCCCCAAGGTCCCTTCCCTCTACCTTTGCTCTGTGGAATAAGACAGGAAATTGAGGGAAGAATAAGGAGGAGACCTGGGCCCTAGTTAGAGGAAAGGAAGAGGAAAGACTGCTTGTGGCTTCTTCCTGTCACAGGTACCTTGCCGTGTCATTGCCTGCCTGCCTCCACTTGCCAATACTGTGCCTGTGTGTGCCCACCCAGTGCAAGGTGCTGGGTGCACAAGAGAGGGACTGGCAGGTATGGATGTCTCGGCAGAGCGGAGTACTACCAGGACTTGGCCAGCAGAGGGACCCCGCTTCCTCAGGACCACCTCACTTTTCTTCATCTGCTTCAGAGGCTAGGAGAAGCAGGATGCTGTCATTACTGGACATGGCCACAAGGGGGTGGCACTGCTGCAACCACAATTCATCACAGCCATGGCCTGAGATGTGGATATAAACTCTGAAGGTTAGGTTGCAAGAGGATCCCAGGTGTGAGGTAGAGCTTGTCCTACCTTGGGACCAACGGGCATGGCCTTGGCCCCAGAGGACCTCACTGGTGTGCCTCTGCAGCCTTACATCTAAGCTGGGGTGTGGAGCTGGGACACATGGATCTCGGAATGTTTATGTGTGTGTGTTTGTGTAAGTTACTGAACGCAGACACAGCTGCATTTCTCCCTGACTGAGTCCCTGGGTGGTGCGAATGATTAATGCACTCGGCTGTTAACCAAAAGGTTGGAGGTTCGAGTCCACCCAGAGGTGCCTCAGAAGAAAGATCTGGCGATCTACTTTAGAAGAATCAGCCATTGAAAGCCCTATGGAACACAGTTCTACTCTGACACACATGGGGTTGCCATGAGTCAGAATCAACTCAGGGACAACTGGTTATCTGTCTGTGTCCCTACCTCTGTCCAGATGGTTCTTCCAGTGCTGGTCAGAATGAGAACGTGTTCTGTGATTCTTCGGGCTGGGACAAGAGCTGCATTATTTATTTTTTGTTACTCTTGGAAGAGTTTATAAAAATTAATGACATCAGCCCTACTGTGTGTTGGCCTCAGCCACTCCTTCCTGGAGAATGACTGGCTGGCCATTCCCCAAGTGTGCCAGGCTCAATTACAGGAGAAATAAATCTGCTAGAGAAAACATGTTGAAACTCTAGATATCACATAACTGGCATCTCCATCCATCTGTCAATATTTCCAGAACACTGACTATGTGGTACTGTGCCATGTTCCTGACACAATGATAAGTAAAAACAGATCCACTGAAACAAGAAATTGTGAACAAGTGCTATGAAAGAAAAAAGCAGAGTGCTATGAGAAATAGTAACTGGGGCCCAAGAAGGAACCTGATGGTTTAGGTTAGGTGGTCTAGAAGGCTTTCTGAGGATGTGATATCTGTCTCCCTATCCATCCATCTGATCACAGTTGCGAGAATTGGCTGAGCCCAGGAAAATAAGTACTCAGTTCAATAATGATGATTCCATTCCTAGTAGGAGATCTACTCATAGTGGAATATAGTGGGAAAATAACCCACTGGCATAAGGATCAGGTGATAGGGGTTCTAGTCCTGACCTGCCTCTACCTTCTAACTTGCTGTGTGTTCTATGGGACTTACTTGGAATTCAGGTTCTTTATTTTTCAGATGGAGATAATAGTGTGCACCCTGACTATCACACAGGTTTGCTATAGGGTTCAAATAAAGTGATGGGTGTGAGAGCCCTTTCAGACACTCAGTGCCAAACAGCACGAGGTCATTAAGCCACTTGGGGGGATGGTGAGAGGGGCTGTTCCAACAACACAGGTCGGGCTGACACACTGAGATGTGAGAAAAATACCGCTTGCTCAGGTCAGGACTGGGAAAGGGAGCAGGGGTACCTGGACTTGGCTTTAGCCAAGAGAGTTGAAAGTATATGTGTGTGTGTAGGGGGTGAGGGGTGGTGGGGAGGGGATCCCTGTCCCCCCTGCTTTCCCTGCCTGGAAGGGTAGATACTGGATCCTGTTGCTCTCAGGGGAAGATGCAAAAGGAAGAGGAGCCCTCTCCTGTCTAGAGGCCACACCTATTGGAGAAGAAAGGCAGTGGAAGAAAGATGGGGAGGGAGAGCCTTGGGGCAAGTAACAGCTGACTAGAGAGAGCAAATGCATACATAACTGTGCAGAGTTACAAACTGCAGCCCGTGGTGGTGGGCAAGCACTGGCTGCCTTGGGTCCTCAGACCTCAGACCTTGCACACATGGACACACACCCAGGCCTCAGATCCACACATGTGCACACACATATGCACAGGCACACACATACACATGTGTACACACACCTATGCACACACACACACAGTCCCTCATTTATCTGAGCACATGTGCACAAATTCAGAGACACCACAGCCAGACAAGCACACTCCTTTACAGAGGCTGGCAGACCTGGCTTTGATCCTGGCCCTCTTACTAGCTGTGTAACCTTGAGCAAGTTAGCTTCTCTGACCCTTAGTGTTCTCCTCTACAAATGGGAATGATAATGCTTACACCACAGTGTTGCTGGAGTCCGGTAGAAGGTCTAGGGAGAGCTGCTCTGGGGACACATCCAAGCAAATCCATCCTATTTCCATGGCCCCAGCCCCACCACCTTGGGCTGTCAGTGAAGCAGAAAAGCCCAGGCAGAATTCAGAAACATCCTTGCTGCCCTAGCGCCAGGCACCAAGTTGCAGTGGCGGGGTTAAAAAAAAAAGAAAAAAAGAAAACCCAAACCCATTGCCATCGAGTCGATTCCAACTCATAGCGACCCTATAGGACAGAGTAGAACTGCCCCATACAGTTTCTAAGGAGCACCTGGTGCATTCACACTGCTACCCTCTTGGTCATAGCAGTCAAAGCTCTTAACCACTACACCACTGGGGTTTCCAGTGGACGGATTAGGCATTTCCTTTTGGGGAAATCAAATTCCACTCCCTGGGTCACTTCCTGGGCCAGGTCAACAAGATAGCTCTTCTATAGGAGTCTCTGGGTGGTACAAATGGTTAATGCACTTGGCTGCTAACTGAAAGGTTGGAGGTTGAGTCCACCCAGAGGTGCCTCAGAAGAAAGTCCTGGCGGTCTGCTTCTGAAAAATCAGCCATCAAAAACCCTGTGGAGCACAGTTCTACTCTGACACACATGGAGTTGCCATTAGTTGGAATTGACTCAATGGCAACTGGTATTCTCCTACAAGGTAAAGGAGAGGTGACAGGTCCTGCTGGACCATGTGCAAATTGAGGGCAAGGCCTGTGTAGTGTTCACCACTGAATCCCCAGGTCCTAGCATAAAGCCTGACCCATTGTCAGCACTAAATAAATGCTTTTTGAATGAATGAATCAACGAGGAAATCCACCCTCTTGTCCAGCCTGATTCTCTCCCTCCCTCTCACCTGCATGGAGAGGCTGAACATAGTGTTGTTCTGGAATAGCTGCAGCTGATTAAACACGTGGACTTTGGTGTTCCCTCTGTAATAAGTTCTACAGTCGACACATGGTGGACCAGGTGTGCAGGGACAGGGCCGACATAGCAGTGCAGCTTCCCATGGTCCCAGTCGAGCACAGGGGTAAAGGCTGTGAATCCTGGCTGTGACCATACCCTACTCTGACAAAACTGACCCCCAGCCTGGCTTCTGGTTTCACAGAGGCAAAGGGTCAGAGAACTGAAACTGGATCTGGATTTCTCTTGATGAGGAACCTCACAGGAGATGCTGAGAGGGGCCCTAAAGACACTGAGTGAGGGTGCTTGATGGAAAAGTACAGACTGAAATACTCACTTCACACCCCAGCCCTGCTGGGGAAGTCCTAAATCCCAAAAGGGAAGCACACGTAAAGGGGAGTTTCCCTTTCTCTCCACAACTTCCTCTCCTCCCACACCACCTGAAGTTGAAGAGACATCTTCAACGTCTTGAAGGAGACTCTGGCTAGTCTGGATGAATGGCCGAGGGACAGCCCTGTGCCCAGCACCATGAGGGCGTGCTCAGGAACAGACCCTGGTCTGGAGAAACCCACTGGCATGTGGCCTGGAGCACACATTTATTCAACAAATACCAGCTCACCACTAGTAGCTGCAAGGCTATTACAAACAAGGCACGAAGAATCCTGAGACATTGGTGGTCTGGGTAATGGTTTGCTGCAGTGGGGACAAGCAAAGATCTTTGCAGCCAGGAGGCCACAGTTCAAATCCCAGCCCCATCATTTACCAGCTGTATGGCCTTGGAACAAACCACTTAGCTTTTATTCACTCCAGTTATCTATTTGTGACTAGCTATGTGCCTTAGTGCTGAGAGGTGACCAGAGCATTGTTACGGCTGCCTGGGACCAGACACTCCACCACCCCAACCTCTGTTCCAAAGGACCCATCACAAACACAGTGACTCCCCCTTAAGGCCCTACAATATCCCAAGCAATTTACCATATTGTCTTTAACCCTCAACAGCAACCCTGCAAAATAGGTATTGTTATCTACCTTTTACAGGTTGGGAAACTGAGACTCAGACTCTTGCTCAGCTCACACAACCAGTAAACAAAGAGGAGGGGTTCAAACTCAGGTCTGTCTGACTGCAAACCTGCGCCCTTTCTAGATTATGCCTCTTGAGATATGCTCTGGGTGCCTTCTATAGGAAAATCCCAAGGAAAAACGTAGCAGTTGTGAAGAAGGTCCCAGAGTCTTGCCTTGAAGCCACAGAGGGCACGTACTTGGTGGAAAACTCCAGTAAATGATTCACCCTCCTGCCATGCCCTCGTCAGTGAGGCCAGTTCCCCCTCCCCGAGGTTCTCAGATTCCAGCCTGGGAGTTGGTGAGTCCCACCCTGCTGCTCCAGTAAGTGGGCTGTACTTTGTCCCGTACATCCCATCTGTTCTTCCCTCGGAAGGAGATAGTACTGGGAGGGGGCAAGGTGAGGAGGGGAGAGAGGGAAAGGACAAGGAATAAGAGGGGGGAGATAAGATTGGCATGTGAGTCTCTGAGCCCCCTCCCCTGCCCAACAGAGCAGCTTGGGCCACCTCTGGAGGGGTAACTTTGGGACACTGCCCACTGGGGTGGGGGGACAGTCTGGAGGGAGGTGGGGGCCACAGTAGGAGCAGGATGGGGGTTGGGGGAACTGGGGACCCAGGACTTGACTTTCTGAGGCTGAATGTTGTAATCCTGGTTCACAGACTTTTGGCCTCATTCCCTCCTGTTGCTTGTGGCATTTCTCTGTCCTTTCACTTCTCAATAAGCTGGCCTGGCGGGAGCACACACACACACACACACAGAGTCGGGTTCCCTCTGGCCATCCCAGGACAATGACTCCAATGGGATTCTGAGCTGAGAGGACCAGGAGGAGGCGTGAAGGTGGAGGACAGTTTCCTTTTCAGGTCCTGTCCCTCTCAACATTCTGGAAGCACCTTCCCCGAGACTCTCCTGAGGACCTGATGCATGGAGCTGAGGAGCTGACCACAGGAGCCAGGACGTAGGACTGAGGTGAGCCAGTAGAGGAGAAGCTACTCAGAGGGGCTGGAGGAGTCGAATCTGGGAGGAAATCCTTGGTAGAAATGTGTGTGGTTGTGATGGAAAGCAGAGCTAGGCAAACTGAGGCCAGAGGAAAATTCTGATGTTCTGGAATCCTAGGACAAGAGGTGTCGGCCCAGCTCCCGCCTTACCATCCACAGCATTGGAGTTGCCCAGGGATGAGCCTGTGTGCCAGAAAAGTCCATAGAGGGGGAGCTGGCCACAGGGAGTGGGTGAAAGAGGGAGTGATCAGCTGAGAGGGGGAAGGAATCAAAGGTGCCTAGTGAAGAGGTTAGGAATCATGGACCGGAGAAACCTCGGGGCATTCCTGAAGGCCCTTGATTTGCCATTAATGATCCCAGGTAAGGAGCTCCTGCCGGCCCCCTGCCAGGCGTGTACAGAGGACTGGGAACTTGTGTCTCCCAGAAAGCTGCCCTGGCTCGGGGGTGGCAGGGAGGCCTGGGCATGCTTGTGCTGAGGAGTCAATGAGGGAGCTGCGGGGAGGTGCGGGCGGCCACCAGCTGAGCTAAGGGGTGTGAAGGACTAGGGACTAGAGTCAGGTTTTGGTGCCATGCACACAGGTATGTGTGTGCAAAGGGACGTGACAGGGAATGGCACCAGTGTGTGTGCGGGAATGGGAATCGGTATGTGGGTGTGGGCTGAGCAAGGGCTGGGGCTTCCTGTCCCCCCGGTGTCCGGGGACTAGGCCATTCCTGTGCTGGATTGGGCAGTTAAAGGGGACCGAGGTGGGATCCCAGCAGCTGTAGGGAGCAGCATTTCTACACTTTTCCGTTCCTCTGCTAGACCCTGGCCAGCTCCTGCAAACAGAGTTAACTGTGGACTTTCCGGTCTCTTGAGGATTTCCTCAGTGGGCAGACCAAGCCCAGTGTGGGTACTGGTGTCTTTGCTTCTGGAGGGCACTGATTTATGGTGAGGGCCATCCCATGTCCCCATACCCTGCCCTAGCTTAGCACAGCAGGTGGGCAGCCTGGGGAGGTGATGCTAGGGACTAGAAAGTTGACAAAGCTGGGGTGGACCCTCGGGCAGGAAGAGAGTTCCAGAAGTTATCTTGACTATGGACAAGACTGCTGTTCAACTATTCCTAGCAAATGGGTTGGGGTAGGGGGACATGGGGTGGGGGTAGAGTGAGTATGGTAGGAGGGTGGAGAGCTATTCTTTTGACTTTTAAAATAACTCCAAAAGGAGAGCTCTGTACAGCTTGTTTTTATGTCTAATGTCTTCCAGAACATTTCTTCCCTGAGTCTGACTTAAATCTCCCTTGCTGCAACTTAAGGCTGTTTCCCCTTAGCTTGCCATGGCTCCAGGCCAGCTCTCTCTTTTCTCTTACTCTTGCTTTCATTCTGCCATTCTGGTTTTTCATTCTTATTGATAAATTATGCTCCTCCCAACTAGGGTTTTTTTTTTTTTTTCTTTCCAGCATATCACGTCGGTGTCAGTTCATCCGTTCATGTTCTCTTTTCTCTCCTCCCCTATCCCTGATACAGCCTTAGCCCTGAGCACAAACTGGGTTCTCTGATTCACTTCCCCGTCCCCACTCTCCTCTGATTCTCCTCCCTGAGCCTCTCTCCCTCCTTCATTGACTCCTGCTCCCCACCAAGTCTCTCCTCCCGCAGCTGTTGAGAATACCTTAGCCCTGAAATAGATGCCTCTGGTCTGAGAACAGAAAGGCTTGTATCCTGACCGACCACCCTCTTGGGGACCCTTGGGTTTGGGGCTTGGCCTGAGCTGAGCTACCCTCTGGCGTGGCAAGCAAAGGCAATAATCTCTCCTTATACTTAATGGACCTCATTTTTATTCCCCTAATGCCCTTGTTAAGGCGCCTGGTGGCACAATGTTTAAAGATCAGTGGTTCAAATCCACCAGTGGCTCCGTGAGGGAGAAAAGACCCGGTGATCAGTTCCTGTAAAGATTACAGCCTTGGAAACACTATGGGGAGTTCTACTCTGTCCTATAGGGTTGCTATGAGTCCAAATTGACTTGAAGGCACACAACAACAACAAATACCCCTGTTGAGCAGGGGTCATTCTCACTTGTAGGAAGACTTAAAGCCCAGAGTGGAGGTGTGAGTTGCCTAAGGTCACACAGCAAGTTAGAGACTTCACTCCACCACTTACTGTCTTGGTAAGTTTATTCAAACCATTCAAAAACAGTTTTACTGAGCACCTGCTAAGTGCCATTGTTTCTTAATCTCTCTGAGCTTCATTTTCTCGTTTTTGTAACACGAGGCTAAAAAAGGATGAAATTTAATAACATATGTAAAGATTTAAATGTTTTTAGCACATACAAATGTTAACCTTTCTTATGCTATTGGCTAGGTCTGGCCTAGAACTTGGGTTTCCCGTCTGCTACTTCTTCATCTATGTTTTTTAGTTCATTTATTCATTCAGTTATTTATCTGATAATGATTCAGGGGCCATTCCTCAGGGTGCCCCGGCCCCAATTCTGTGGCAACATCAACTTTTGGGTTCAGGTATCGCCAACTTTTCCTCTGAGTCCAAGCTCCCCTGTTCTTTCAATCTGTGGCTCTGGTTCTTCAAGCCCAATGGGGTCTGGTAGCTTACTCCGGACCTGGAGCTCTCTTCCCTTCCCTATTTCCCCCTCTTTCTCCCTTATATCTGATGCTCCTGGCTTTTGCTCCCCAATGGGTGCCTCTGTCCTCATCTTCCTTCTGGGCTGAGCTCACAGTGAAGCCTTTGAGTAGGTCCCAGTACCAGAATTTCACCCTGACATGCTTTCCCATTCCTGGGATAACCTGCACCCTCCAAGTCACCTTCAAAAATTTCCATATCCTCAGATGGCTCCTGCCCACGCCTTTCTAAATAACTTGGACTTGGGCTGTTGCCTGGGCTAAAAGGACCAACAAATAAGCATAGTCTCTTCCTTAATAAAAAGAATTGCTTGTGTTTCTCTAGCGCCTCGGAGGAGGATGGAGTACTTGGTAGACTCTGTTCACCCAACGTCCCCCAGAGGTGAGGGGCAGTGGGATGGGTGCTTCCCTCCAGAGTCTGGGGCACCTCCTCCTGCCAGCTCACTGGACATAAAGGCAGAGGTGGCCTTGGGGTATGTTGTGTGTGGGGGAGGAGAGGGAAGGCAAAGATGGGCTAGAGATACATGACTGTGCTGGAATTTATCCCTTGGCAGTTGACAAACAGTGGGGCTCTGCTCTTGAAAGGGGCATGGCTTTTCTGGAAGTCCGGGGAGCTTTGAGCTGTTTAGGAGGGCCTGCCAAGATGGGCCTCCCTCCTGTGTGGGAAACACTCTGACCTGCAGATGACTACTACCCAAGTGAGATGAGCTCTGGTGACCTTTTCTGCCACCAGGACCCTCTGCCTGTGCTCAGAGCAGAGGCAGGCCTGAGAGGAAAAGAACCTGGGTTTCCCTGAAGGCCTGCACTTGACCCTGGCACCAGTCCCTGTCCTAATCTGGACTTGCTCAGAGGTCCCACCTTCTTCTTCCCTCCAATCAGATGCCCAGAGCTAGCTGGCTCCCATGTTTACCCTGAGGAAATTGATCGCCCTGGCACAGGCTGAGTATGCAACTGGCCAGGGGAAGACCATTCAGTCACCCAAGACACACCTGCCCTTTGACCCCCTGTCACCCCTGGTAGCTTTTGATTCCTTCTGGCCCAGAGGCCAGAGGCTGGGCTGGTGTCTCTCACCAGGATGCTGAGGAGCTGGGGCTGACAGGCCAGCTGGGGATGGTGGCTGGCTGAAAAGATAAAAAGGGACTTGAAATAAAAGGCCCTAAACCCAGAATTTAATCCCAGTTCTGCTCCTGAATGGCCTTGGCAAGTCACTTCATTCGTCAAGCCCTGGATTTTCTCATCTACACAATGGCAGACTAAGATTTGTTCCCTATTTGCTCACAGGGTCATGAGGGCAAAGTGTGACTTTGGATGCAAACGTCTTTGAGAGTTTCGGAAGAAGAGCAATATTCCAACAGCAACAATCCGAGTAAAGCAAGCAGGGATGGCAGGGGCATGAGTTGGCATTTCACAGCTCATTCATTCTCCTCCCACCAGACTTTGCCTCTCTCGCCATCCTGCCCCAGCCCCAGCTCCGCGGCCTCCCAGCCCATTGCATGGCTATGGAAAGAAAAGTGGCAGCTCACGCAGATGGGGCTCCTGTGGACTCCTGTGTCCCTGTGGAGAGAGAGAAGTTGGACCAGGAAGGGGAGGACCAGGTGAAGGATCGGGGCCAATGGACCAACAAGATGGAGTTTGTGCTCTCGGTGGCCGGGGAGATCATTGGGCTGGGGAATGTCTGGAGGTTTCCCTATCTCTGCTACAAAAATGGAGGTGGTGAGTTCACTTTGAGGTAGGCGTGGTGGGGAGACCTGTGCCCTGACAGTGAGCAGTGCCTACCTGGGCCCTCCTGCCTAAGCAGTGTGGTAAAATGGAAGGAAGGCTGGAGTGGAATTAGAGGACTTAAGTTTGAGTTCCAGCTCCACCATTAGCCTCAGTCTCCTCCTCTGTGAAATGGGGATGATATCTCACAGTGCTATGGTGAAGATTAAATGAGGCCACGGGCAGCACCAAGGAGTCTGCATTTTTGTTTTTTGATTTTTTTATTGTACTTTAGATGAAGGTTCACAGAACAAATAGTTTCTCATTAAACAGTCAGTACACATATTGTTTTATGACATTGGTTAAGAACCCCACGACGTGTCAACGCTCTCCCTTCTCTACCTTGAGAAGCCAAAGTTACACCATTATGAAAGTTTCTACATGTACAATTCAGTGACATCGATTACATTCTTCCAGTGGTGCTGCTATTCTCACTATCCTTTTCCAAATTATTCCATTATCATTATCTTCAACTCACTGTCCCCTAGGCTTCCCATCAAAGCTTTTGAGTTACTGTTGTCAATTTGATCTCATATAGATAATTCTTTTTTTTTTTTTGTACCTTAGATGAAGGTTTGCAGAACAAATAGTTTCTCATTAAACAGTTAGTATACATATTGCCCTATGACAATGGTTAACAACCCCATGACATGTCAACACTGTCCCTTCTGTACCTTGGGTTCCCTATCACCAGCTTTCCTGTACCCTCCTGCCTTCTAGTCCTTGTCCCTGGAATGCTGTGCCTCATTAGTTCTGTTTTGTATGAGACTGTCCAATCCCTGGCTAAATGGTGAACTTCAGGAGGGGTTTCATCACTGAGCTAAAAGGGTGTCCGTGGGCCATACACTAGGGATTTCTCCAGTCTGTCAGGCCAGTAAATCTGGTCTTTTTTTGTGAGTTAGAATTCTGTTCCACATCCTTTTCCAGCTCTGTCCAGGAGCCTCTATTGTGACCCCGGTCAGAGCAGTCAGTGGTGGTAGCCGGGCGCCATCAAGCTGTACTGGACTCAGTCTGGTGGAGGCCATGGTAGCTGTGGTCCATTAGTCCTTTGGATTAATCTTTTCCTTGTATCTTGTTCTCTTTGTTCTCCCTCGATCATGAAGGGGTGAAACCAGTGAAGTATCTTAGATGGCTGCTCACAGGCTTCTAAGACCCCAGACACTACTCACCAAGGTAGAATGTAGAACATTGTCTTTATAAACTGTATTATGCCAACTGAGCTAGATGTTCCCCAAGACCATGGTCCCCAAAGCCCTCTGCCCAGCAATTCAGTCCCTCAGGGAGTTTAGAAGTGTCTATGGAGCTTCCATGACCTTTCCTTGTACAAGTTGTGCTGGCGTCCCCAGTATTGTGTACCATCTTACCCTTCACCAAAGTTACCACTTATCTATTTTGTTCCCTACATCCCTCCCATCCCTCATAACCGACAAAGATTGTTTCTTTTTGTGTGTAAACTTTTAAATGATTTATACAGTTGAGGTCTCATACAATATTTGTCCTTCTGTGATTGACTTATTTCATTCAGCATAATGTCCTCCAGTTTCATCCATGTTTTGAGATGCTTCACAGATTCATCATTGTTCTTTATCTTTGTATAATACTCCATTGTGTGTATGTACCGTAGTTTGTTTATCCATTCATCTGTTGATGGGCATCTAGGATGTTTCCATCTTTTTGCTATTGTGAACAGTGCTTCAGTGAATATGAGTGTGCATATGTCTATTAGTGTGATAGCTCTTATTTCTCTAGGATATATTCCTAGGAGTGGGATTGCATTTTGTAGTGCTTTTTTTTTTGCGGTGCTGATGTTTTCTTTGTTCCTCTTACTCTCCTGTGCTGAGTTCCTTTTGTTTGTGGATTTTTTTCATTTCTTTTGTTTTGTAGATTTTGTTTTTACTGAGACTTTGTTTTTCTTCTTTATTTTGATGATTAGGTTTGTTAACTTTCTTTGTGGTTACCTTGAAATCTACTCTCATCTTCCTAGATTTGTACTAGTCTATTACTATTTGGTATCGCTTGACTTCCTCTCCATTAGAAGGTTCTATACCTGCACCGTTTATTCCCTCTTTTATTGTTCTGATGCTGTTGTCATTTACAGATTAACCTCTCTGGTTCCCTTTTGTAATTCTTTTGGTTTTGCATAGTTCTTAAGAGTTCATTTTCTAGGTTGGTATCTGGCTAGTACAATCCTGTGTCCTATATTCAGCCTATGGTCTGATATTGTCTGTTCTCAGATCAAAGGACTCCTTTAATAAGTCTCGTAAGTTCGGTTTGGTTTTTACATAGTCCCTTAATTTCTGTTTATCTGGAAATGACCTAATTTCACCATCATATTTGAACGAGAGTTTTGCAGGATATAGTATTCTTGGCTGACTATTTTTTTCTTTCAAGGTTTTATATATGTCATCCCATTGCCTTATTGCCTCCATGGTTTCTGCTGAATAATCCGAGCTGAGCTTTATTGTTTCTCCTCTGTATGTGACTTTTTGTTTTTCTCGAGCTGCTCTCAGGATTCTTTGTTTGTCTTTGGTTTTGATGACTGTGATTATGATATGCCTTGGTGATTTTCTTTTGGGGTCTATCCTCTATGGGGTTCGTTGAGCTTCTTGGATGGTCAGCTTTTCATCTTTCATGATATTGAGGAAGTTTTCTGTCAGCAATTCTTCAATGATCCTCTGTGTGTTTTCTCCCCCTGTTCTGGAACTCCGATCACTCGCTGATTTTTGCTTTTGATCGTATCCCACATAATTCTCAGGGTTTCTTCATTTTTCTTCATTCTTTTTTCTGATTTTTCCTCAGAGTTCTGTCCAAGTGTTTGTCTTCAATTTCGCTGATCCTGTCTTCCATCGTTTCAAACCTCCTCCTCAGCCCTTGTATGACGCTGTCCATTTCTGAAATCTTTTTGTTTGTCTTTTGGATTTCTAATTGTTGTTTTTATATGATTTCTAGTTGTGAATTCATTTTAGCATTTTGTTTCTGTATTATTTTCTTGAATTCTTCCATTTTTTTGTCTGTATGTTCCATGAATTTGTCTGCTTTTTCCATGAATTTGTCTATTTTTTTCTCATTTTTGTCTGTTTTTTGCTTCAACTCTTGGATAATTCTGAATATTAGAGATTTGAATTCCCTATCAGTTAGGTCTAGTGCATTTTCTTCTACTAAAAGGTCATCGGGTGTTTTATTTTGGACTCCTACTGGAACCATCCTGTCTTGTTTTTGTAAATGTTTTGATAGTGTCTGTTGTCTTCGTGGCATTCACTGGTTATTTTCCTGATTTATTGATTGTAGATTTGTTTGTTTCGTCCTAATTTTTTGTTTTATTTGGTTATGTCTGAGCCGGCCAGCTGTGCATACTTTGTTGTTTGCTCATCTGTGGGCACGATACTTTTCACCTCCTTCTCCAGTGGGCAGGGTCAGTCACTCAGGTATGGTAGAGCAGGGTAGGTCCAGCTGAAAGGGGAGTTGCTGGGATAGGTTTTTTGTGGCATGTACCAGGGCTGACAATGCAGACCAGGAATCAGTGCAGGGCAGATTCCAGTAGGCCGTGCCTATGTTGCTTGGGAGTGTGATGTTCAGCGCATGGTGCAGGTAGGCAGGAAGGAGGTGGTAGATTGTGATCTGTGGAGCTAAGATGGGTATGGGAAAGATGAGAGAGAGGAGAGAGGAACAGGAACCAAAGACATACACACAAACAAAAAAGAGTGCTAAGGGAGCTTGTTATTAGAGTGGAGAGATGAGAGACAGAAACGGGGAAAAACAAAAATTAAAAAAAAGAAAGAAAAAGGATAAAAGAAAAAAATGAATAAATCGAGAAACTGGAAATGAAGAAAGACAAAAAGGGAATAACAGAGAGAAGAAAAGTAAACAAAGAAATGAAAAAAATAAAAACCTCGAAAACAAACAAGAAAAAAGAAGTGCCCCCAGGGAAGTCCCTGTGCATCTGTGCAGAGGAAGGGACTAGCTTCCAAGCCACGCAGTACTGCCCAGCTAGAAGGGGCTCCCAAGCCAAGAAAAGAGAAAGAAAACAAACAAATCAAAACAGACCAAATCAGAGCAAACAAACAAACAAAGAAAAAAGCCCCGGGGGTCCCACCAGCGTGGCTGCACGGGCCGGGAAGCAGTTTCACAGTCCAGCGGTGTTTCACAGCCTTTCAGGAAGAAGCAAAGATGGTGCACGGAGCCAGGTATTTGAGAGAAAGGAGGGGGAGGTGGTGAGAGGTAAGGAAGAAATCTAAAGAAGTGGAAAAAAGCAACACCAGCAGCCAACAAATGGCAGTCAGGGAGCTGGCCAGTGTGGGCAGGTGGAATCCAAGTGGAACTGGGGGGAAGCTGTGCTTCCTGGCCAATAGACTGTGGCTGCAGGAAGCAGAGGGGGCTAAGTGTGGGTGAAGAAGGGTGGGGGGTGGGAAAGCCTATATCGTGGGTTACCGGTTGTTCTGTCCCCTGCTGGAAGCTCCGTGAAGCTGCTTTCTCGTATCTCCTGTTCACTGATCTCTGATAGGAGTCCAAGATGGCAGATCCGTGCTGTGGTAGATGATTGGGGACCTCTGCGTGTATCTCTGCTTGCTCTCTGTTCTCGGTCAGTTTCTTATTCCATTCAGTGCTTGGCTGAGTTCTTTATCTCTTCATTTGATGGTTAGGGTTTCAGGATTGACGTGAACTCTGTTTGACTTAGTTTTTCTGATCTTTGCTGCAGAGGGACGGCATGGTGCTTCTGACTATAGCACCAAATTGCCCGGAAGTCTGGAGTCTGCGTTTTTAATAAGTTCCTTTGTTACTCTACACAAATGCAAGTTGTTGATAGAATTTATTCTTTCATTCCACTAATATTATTGCAGGCCTATTATGTGCCAGGCACTGTTTCAGGTACAATACAGAAAATATTCTGTGTGTTATATATTAGTGGGGAGAGAGTGATTATAAACAAATAAGTAAAACGTGTGGTATGTCAAGTG